TATTTATTTATTGGCAGAACTGGGAATTAAACTCAGATTCTTGCGTTTGTCAGTCAAGCGCTTATCCTACTGAGCCATCTCCCCGGCCCCTAAGACTGTCATCTTTAACTTCACATTACACACATCAAAACTGGTTTCACTTAATATAAAATTTCTTGTGGTACAAAAAATTAAAATATTTGCTTTCTAATACAACCATCCATGAGGTCTGATCACAGTATACAAGAATGTTTAGATTTTTAAAATTTGTTAAAACAAAAGACACATTGTCACCAGGGCATTATAGCAATGTATCTTTTACTAATTTTTTTTCAGAATTTAAATATTATATTATTTTTTAATCATGCTTGGTATACAGTCCACCATTCTGAAGCTGTCTAAATGGAACTTCAGAGTGTGGCACTTTCTTTTGCATAAAACCCTTTTCTCTTCACAAAACCCTGAGGTGAAAGGTTATTAGTGGAATAACATTGGAACCACAATTCTTTTCATTTCTGTATTTACACTATAGGGCAATATTTGTTTTTAAAGTGGCGACTAGAGGGGCTGGCGGGATGGCTCAGTGGTCTAAAGCATCTACTTAGAACAAGCTTAGCAAAGCACAGGGACCACGGTTCAATCCCCCAGCACCACATGCCAACCAGTCCTGCCCCCTGGTGGGCTGAGTTGACCACACACACACACACACACACACACACACACACACACTAAATAAAATATTAAAAAATAAATAAATAAAGTGGCGACTTGAAAAGCTGCTCTGTACAGTTTTTCAAAATATTTTCAGGTCAACCTGGTCAGAAGAGCCTACAATGACCCTAAAATACAGTATCCTTTTAACACTTGCTAGTGTCGAGATGAGCGCCATTTTCCATCCCTATTACTGTCCCTTCTGTTATCATAATCATGGCTGTAGCCATCATGAATCTTATTCTCATAGAGGAAATCTTCTCTGCTTCCACTGTAATGGTAGTCAGACCCATGATCAGTGCAACGCTATTTTCAGCTATAATGTCTATCTCCTAGGTAGGGATGAGAGTTCTGTTGGCCTTTATGCTGTGATGGTGGTGTATCCTGGTGCTATTGGGAGCTTGAAGACTGGTTAAAAGTATGATTATGTGACTGAACTGATGGTGAAAATCCTGACTGATCCACATGTGGAGAGCCAAATTTCCCTCCGTATGGCATGTATCGCAAAACATTGTTCATCACTACTTGTTGCTGGTAATTTTCTGGAGAAGAAAATGATATCTGAATTATCTGTGATGATGGTGACATGCTATCCACAATCCTTTCATTTATGCTAGGAGACGTAGAGGTCAGGCTTGAATTTCCAACAAGATGCTGGGGGTATGATAAGCTGATATCCTGTGAAGCATGACTACTTCCTAATGTAAACTGAATTTTGATGGGCCTTCCAGAAAGTTTGATTCCATTAAATAGATTCATCGCATAAGGAACAGATACTTCATGTTTAAAATTCACAAACACAAATTGCTTTGGTTTACCATCCTTATCTTTTG